CACTCATACCTTAGCGCCAACAAACAATGCTCAGCTACTCAGACTTCACCGGCAATCAACAATTTTCTTTCAAGAATTTCATCAAATACTTGGTGGGCAACACTTTCATTCAAGTCTTTCAAAACATTGGATACCTTATTCAAACTTGTTCCAATCCTCAAATACTTCAAACAACGCTAAAACCATCAAATCACATCGGATTCAAGCCTAAGTTTCTTAAAAACTTCCGAATTACGCATTCGATCAAAAACCCGACCAAAACACCTCCGAATGACCTGAAATTTTGCACACATATCCAAAATCACCTAATGAAGCTACACCAACTCTCGGAATTCCATTCCGACCCTCGGATCAAAATCTCATCTATCAACCGGAATTCGCCAAAATACTAACTTCGCCAATTCAAGCCTAATTCTACACCAGACCTCCAAAATCAATTCCGATTGCACTCCTAAGTCACAAATCATTTTCCGAAGCTAACCGAATCACCGGAAATCACATCCGAGCCTTCTAACTCATAAGTCAACGTCCGGTTGACTTTTCCAACTTAAGCCTTCCTTAAAGAGACTAAGTGTCTCACTTCTTATCAAAATCAATCCAAATCAACTCTAACGCACCACATACCGATAACGAAACATAAGGAAACATAAAATGGGAGAAACGAAGCAGTAACACCTGAGACGACGGGTCGGGTCGTCACAATATATATAAGAACAACATGAAATCAAGAAGAGTGATACAAAGCAAAAGCAAAATATTATCCCTACCAAACTAGTCTCCCAAAGTTATGGCATAAGACAAGACTCAACTACCTCCTAACCTACAACCCTAATACTCGACCTCCATCTCCGCGCTTCTTCTCGGAACTTTGCATCAATTTCCTTGTTTTGGGGGTACTTAATTAGGCAAGCTTGATGGGTCACAAGCGTAAGGTTTTGTATTGAAATACTGCAGAAAGGTATACGACAAATGTTGAACCGAAATATTAGCATGTTGGGAGAATTGTGTTGAACTTGGAAACAGGACATCCACAAAAAACTGAGATAGCTCGAGGATAACTCCCAAAAAAAAGGTAAAGGGTATAACTATATCCCTTAATTGTAGGCACTAATACTGGATTGTGAGCCTTTTAAGGTGGAATGTATATATTTTGTAAACAAAACTTGTGTAGGTAGGGTAATTTACTAAACATGAATATTTAGGGTAATAAAGTTTCCCATAGTGTATAGGAATGAAAAAATCCCTTGTTTTTCTCTATCTATGCTATCACTAAGCTTCTTAGTTTCTCTGAAATCTTTCACAAGTAGAAGTGATGAGATGGTATTGGGCTGGAAATTGACAATACTATTTTCAACTATGGGTTGATCCAAATTCTTTAAAATTGTGAGAAATTCCTACTAATAATTGATTTAGATTTTGGTACAGTCATCAACAATTTAAATACTAGAAGAAAATGACAAATGATACAATCATGGAAATAGTTAGTAGCATTTAAGTGATATGAGTAGATTGAGATGCAATCTAAATGTTAGTCATTAATCACTATGGGACGAAAATTTTGCACCCAGTATACCAACCTAATAAATAAAGTATAGTAATAATTATTATTTTCTGAATTATGCGAGAATTTTTTTTGGGAGAAATCAAGGTGGCAGTAGAAATTGTTTTAAAAGAAATTTCCGATGGCTTGTTTCACTTTTATGGTTGAATGAACAATAGAACTAAAAATAAATTTGACATTGGTAGAAAGTCATAGATGTTGTAAATGGGATAACTAATATTTCAAACTTTGGAGCATCAAATAATATCACTTTTCTTAATGACTCTGTATACATATTACTTTTTGGGGCGGAGGGAGGGTGTTATTTACATGTCAGATGAATTCAATAACTTTTTGCTTAGATCCTATATTTTGTACTAGAAAATTTATTAAATATGTATAAATACTTAATTGCTAACCCATTAACTAACGAGCTATGAGTTCGGTTGTAAATTCAAAACCCATAAACATTAAATGTTGGCTCTACCTCTAATTATATATACTACTAAAGTTTTAGAAAAATTCATCCAGTGTTGTACAATATGTTTGGAAATATATGCTCTTGTGTCGTAGAACATACTACTATTACTTAAGAGATGTTATTATTTGCGGAAGTCAAATACTTTTTCTTTGACTATAAATTTTTAAATAAATTTGAATAATTAAATATGTTGACTTATAGTAGTTCTTTTTATATAACTATCAAATATAAAAATAATTTTTTTAAAAAATTTATACCAAAATTCACATTTCAAAATTAAGCTCCCGTTTGCCCATAGATTTTGGCTACTTTTTTCTTTCAAAAAAAAAAAATTAAAAATATTATTTGTTCATAGAATATAATCAGTTTTTGAAAAAAATTTCAAGTTCCCAAAAAACGAGTTTATGGCAGTTTTTAGGTGAAAATTTTTCTTGCATCCACAAAACTTCAACTTTTGTCTCAAATAAATTGTATATTCAAATAATTTCAACTTTCCAAAAATTATTTTTCAACACGCCTACAAAACCTTTTTTTAAAATTTTTAACTAAATTTATGTCCAAACGCTAGCTAAGTATTTTTGACCCTCATGTTCCGAACCTCTTCATATAAATTTGGAGAGAGAAAGTAGTAAGATAATACTCTCTCCATCCAAATTTCTGTGACACATTTTTGTTTTTAGTTTATCTAGAAAATAATGAGATTTTTTCTTTTTGAAAACTATTTAATCTAAGTATTTTCGTGTTAATCTTAATACATCACTCCAACACATGTAATATGAAATTTCATTCTTTTACAAAGACACGTGAAACTATTATCATCACTTTTTTAAAAAAATATTTAATATTTTACCTATATTTATTTGACTTATATGCCATACCTTTAGCATTGCTGTCTATTAACAGCGTGTTTGGATGGTTGTTACCCATTATATTATATCGTATTGTTATGTTAAATATAATGTTTGTTTTGATTGTTACTTAAATTTTATTGTATCGTATCGTTAAATCCGTCGTTACATAACGACGAAATGTGCCACTTTATGTAACGATCGATTTGTTGTGGTCGCGTCTTTACCTTGTCTTTTTCTCTCAATGTCACCCTTTATTATTATTAAATAATTTTATTTTATCATTTATCCTACCTTTTTATATAATAATTTTTCTTTATAATATTTTAAGTTTATTCTTCATATTGCTGGTGTGTAATATCATGAAACGATGGTAAAATGATATAATCTATCCAAACATATATTTATCAAACGATATAATAAAATACGATACGATACATTATGAAATGACAGGTAACAACCATCCAAACAAGCTGTAAGTATTAACCATCTAATTTTGTTGGATTTTTCCTGAAAGGGTTTGGGTTTTGTTTACTGATAAACACTGGAGAGAGAGAGAGAGTGTGTTGTTCTGTTCAGTTAGTTTAATCACACACAGATAAAGTAAAACCTTTCCCCCACCCAACACTCCCTTTTTCTTTATTATAGTACTTATCTTTTTCTTCTTCTTTCCTCTTTAATTTCTCTATTTTCTTTTTACAAGTAAAACCAGAGAAGAGAGAGAAGAAGGAAACAAGAACTGGAAAAAAGACTCAATCTTTACTGTGTATAGTTAAGGGGTGAAGCTTTGATGGATCTATAGATCTAACACTTTCAGACCCACATGGATTGTTATGTCTTTTTTCAGATCTCAGTCATTATCAGTTGAAAAGATTCAGTAACTGACCAGAAAAAATATAGCGTAATATAGGCCTAATTGCATCAAAGTCTTATCTTTCTACTTATTTTTTCAAGAAGGTAATTCTCCAAGCTGTGAACTTTATTTGATTTCTGTGCTTTCTGTGTTATGAATTTACTGTTGTTTTGTTCATTTGGGTATGTGAGAATAGGATTGACTGGTTTTCAGTGTAGACTGTAGTGTGTAATTTTACCCCAATTTGCTTCTTGTCATTGCTGATGTAGTCTGAAAATTGCTAGGTTGTTGGTCATGATTCTAGTATTCGCGCTTTGATTCATGATTTGATGCTCCTAGTAAGTTTATATGATGTATTTGGACTTGTGCATATGTTCGGATTAGGACCTGAGGGGCTCGGTAGCATTTCGGTGGCACCGTTGCATGAAAATTGGAACATTAGGATCCTTAAGTTTGACTTGAGTCTTCATTTTTAGTTGTTGAGCTGCACGTAGTGTTTCGAGCCTTTGGATAAGTCCAATAAAGGGTATTTGGACTTGTCGGGATGTGTTCGTGTTGGTTGGGCGTACTCTCGAGTAATTCCAAAGGGTACTTGGTGCCTCCCACCAGCACGGGTATGGGGTAACTGTGTCTACTAAGGCTCGGACAGATGAGAAGAAATCACCTAGTATTGGGTTTGAACCCGAGGTTCTCAGCCCACTTCATTGTTTATTCTTCTTTGGTGTTAAAATTGGGTTTTGGACTTTGGAACTCTCTGTTTTACTATGTAGATTTATTTCTTATTGGTTAAAGCTATGATCTTTTCCCAATTCTGTGATTCTTGAAGTAGTTGTATAGCTGAACTTCTTGTTATATATGCTTGTTTCTTGTTTGCAGGATAAGAGAGTAATAACCAAATTAGAGTTTAGTTAGACTGCTCTTTTATTTTGGCTGTTGAAGAATTGGAGGTAGAGCAGAGGTGAAATGAAATGAGGGATGTTATCAAGACTGATAAATTTCCTGAGGGCCTGTTGGCGGCCATCAACGGACCGTTCTGTATACGCTGGTTCGGATGCAGCTGGACGGCAAGATGGACTTTTTTGGTATAAGGACAGTGGTCAACACTTGATTGGTGAGTTCTCAATGGCAGTTGTACAGGCCAATAATTTGCTGGAGGATCAAAGCCAGATCGAGTCGGGCTCTTTGAGCTTGCTTGATTCGGGCCCCTACGGTACGTTTGCTGGGATATATGATGGTCATGGTGGACCTGAAACATCACGATATATCAATGATCACCTCTTTCAGCATCTCAAGAGTAAGCAACTAGACCTTTTTTATTGACCAAAGTACTCATTTGTCTATTGCATTGCATCAATCCAGTGTAGTTCGGAATGATGTTGGTAAGCTAGTTAAATGCTATGTAGTAAATCTTTTAATAAGAAAAATGCCAGGGTATTTTTTTTAAATTTAAAATAGGGATAATTACATTTTTGGGCCGCCCTAAAAAATAATAGGCGGCAAATGTATATTTTTTGTATATTAAGTGTAAATATACATATAATATACTTACATATACATGTTATATACATAATCAGTGTATCTGTTTTGTATATTTGGGCTAGCGCCCGTAATTAATGTCGACCGACAAAAATGAAAAAAGCCCTTTAAAATATCTAGCATATTAGCTTATTTGCCATTTGAATTAATCAGTCTGCACCTTTTATATTGTAGGGTTTGCAGCTGAACAAAATTGTATGTCTGTGGATGTAATACGAAAATCATTTCAAGCAACAGAAGAGGGATTCTTTTCTCTGGTTGCAAAGCAATGGCCAACGAAGCCGCAGATAGCTGCTGTTGGATCTTGCTGTCTTGTTGCGGTGATCTGCAATGGCACCCTTTATGTTGCTAATGTAGGTGATTCCCGAGCTGTTTTAGGAAGGCTTGTGAAGGCTACAGGAGAGGTTCTTGCGATCCAGCTTTCAGCTGAGCATAACGCGAGTATTGAATCCGTCCGACAAGAGTTGCATTCAATGCATCCAGATGACTCACAGATAGTGGTTTTGAAGCATAACGTATGGCGTGTCAAGGGTCTAATTCAGGTATATCTCTCATAATGTGAGCAACTGTACTTTAGTCTATGTTGCGCGGACTCTTCAGAATGTTGTCGCACCCGTGTCGGATCCTCCAAAAATACTCTATTTTGGGAGGATCGACATGCACCCGGCGACATTTTCGGAGAGTTTGAGTAACATAGACTATAGTTGTGTTTTCATGATTTGTGGATAGAGTTGCTTATATGGTTTCTCATTCTTGTTATTATTTCAGAGGTAGATATGGTTAGTATCATGTTGAGAGTTCAAAGCATTTTTATAGTTGATCAATTAAAAGGTGTGTTACTCATTGATCAGTGTATGCAGTTGCTTGTATGTCATCGATCTTCTATCTTCTATCTTCTAGTCTTAGCAATGAATACAAGGACAATTATTGCGTTCTTTTATCTGCGTTCAATCAGATTCTTTTATACATGCAGGGGAATTTATGAGCCGTGACTCCTACTCTAAGCTGGTTTTGACTAAGATAGACATTTTAGATTTCTTGAACCCAAAAGAGATTATAAGTCTTTCCTTCACTCCCTATATTGGCTGATATTTTGATATTCTAAACTCCGTTTTTCCTTCTCTATTAGTTTGCTTTATTAAGGGATGGATGTTGGTTCTCAATGACTCAAGTTATTAGTTGATCTGCTGCTCACTGCCAGTTATTGTGCTGTTTCTAACAAACTTATCTGCAATTTCCAGAGAAGGAAACGACTGTTTTTTGTCCTTTTGTATAGTTTCATTTAAGTACAATCAGACTCTGTATAGTGTATAGTCCACATTAATTCATGATTATCAAAAAGGAATTCTAATTAAACCACCAAAAGGTGAAGTGCCAACTTAACCAGAAGATTACAAGCAATCACTTTTCTCATTTGCTATGCTGAGAAATAAGGAAATACAAGACTGAAACAGACTTATCCCAAAAAGAAAAAGGACAGATCAAGATAGACCAAATAGCCATAGATGATGCACGAAAAGACAAAAAAGATTTTATCGTGAGTTAGGAACAACAGGCACTTCACCACTTACTTAATGACCCAAGCATCGGTGCATGTTTCAACTTCAACCAGCTACTTGTTGAGCGTAAAACTATCATTTATTTAAAGTAATGGTGCTAAAGATCAGAAAGGTCAAAGGAAAGGCCGTCCTTGGTTTCTTCCGCGGGATTTGGATTACATCATAGTTGCACTATGTGCACGAGATCGTTTGTTTCAATCCTTTGATGGTCATTCTGGTTATTAAATGTGACAGATATAGATGTCACCCTTGATCCTGCTTTCTATACTTTACGGGATCGTTTGGTAGCCGGTTAGAGAGGAGTTATCCATGTATTAAATGTAGGATAACTTTATACATTGTTTGGTTAAAAGAAGGGGGAAGAATAATCTCCACATAGAAGCTAGCATAAGTTATACAATGTTTGGTTGTTTTTTCCTCTTTTTCACATAAAATATAGCATTGCTAATACAATGTTTGGTTTATGTGTTTTCTTTTCCGCATAACTAATACATGTACAACTAATACATGTATAAGTTATGAGGGAATCTATGTATTATTTATGCAAGGTAGAAGGTGGAATAACTTATACATAATTAGTAATACTTGTATTAAAACGCAAAATGACAAGAATACCCTTTATTCAAACTTGTATTTTTTTGTTTAAATAAATATATTTAAACTATACTAACAATTTTAATAAAAATAAAGTAAGATAATAATAAATAACACTCATATTACATTTATATTACTAATCCTTATATAACTACCGCATAACTAATCCCCGCATAATTAATCCATGCATAACTAATCCCAACATAACTCAACCTTGCATAACTTATCCCTGCATAACTAATACTGCATGCATAACTAATCCCTGCATTACCTATTCCTGCATAACTAATACATACATAACTTATACCTGCATAACTAATACATGTATAACTAATACCTGCATAACTCTAACCGGTAACCAAACGACCCCTACATGGATTCCGGACTTCATTGAAATGAATTTGCTAATTTTCTGCACTAAGCTATTTATATGGGTTTTAATTTCTAATCCATCTTGCAGATTTCGAGATCTATTGGTGATATATACCTTAAAAAGGCTGAATACAACAGGGAGCCTTTGTATGCGAAGTTTCGGTTGAAAGAACCTTTTAGAAGGCCCATATTGAGCGCTGATCCATCAATTACAGTTCAAGAACTCGAACCGCATGATCAATTTCTCATATTAGCTTCTGATGGTCTTTGGGAACATCTTAGCAATCAAGAGGCAGTTGATATAGTACAAAATAACCCCCGAAGCGTAAGATCTTTGACTATAGGAGACTTTTAATTTTTCCCTTTCTCTTTTATATTTCTTTTGCATGTATAAAGTCTTCAACTGCAAATCGACTCTAATAGAATTGTGTTGCTGGCTTTAGGTGGTGCACTTTTTAAATATCGTGTTAAATGAAATGTTGGGTTAAACATATCCTGTTTCTTTGTCTCTCCGGATCATGTTTTCATGTGCTATTCGAGCGAGTTATGATTTACTCTTTTTTTTTTCTTGGTGATACTTCCTGAAAATGCATCGACTATTGTATTGCCTTTTTTTTTTTACTAACCGTGGTGTCTCGGTTTGTAACCGTAATGTTCGGGCCAGCTTGCTTGTACCTCGACTAATTCCACAAGGTACGTGCCATCTCCCCGTAATGTTCGGGCCAGCTTGCTTGTACCTCGACTAATTCCACGAGGTACGTGCCATCTCCCACCAGCAATACGTACCAGGTAACTCTGTCCACCAAGGCTTGGACAGATGGGAAGAAATCACCTAGTGTTTTTGCTGCCGCTGGGATTTGAACCTGAGACCTCATGGTTCTCCCTCACTTTATTGACCACTAGGCCACACCCTTGGGTGCTACTGTATTGCCTTTATCACACTGATATAATTGATATGGCTCCTGCTACTCACTTATTAGCAAGCTCGTCTAGAGATCTCAAGTAGTTTCAGGAATGTCCACATTTTAGAGAGAACAAAGTAACACTTCTAGATCAGACATTGTACTCTATGAAGGAAAAAATATATGTTGCATGAGCACTTCTTTACGAGTACTTCATTTTTTGTCTATTCTTTTGTCCATTTCTTCTTTGGGGTAAAAACATAGACCATTACTAGGGGCTTTGCTATTGAATGACGTGTTATTCATGTTATACAAACATGATATTTAGATACGCTTGAAATATACATCACTAGTATAATAATATTCAAGGCAGGGTAGCATAGGTATTGAGAGATTTCAACATTTCCCCTTGCATATTTTTAGGAAACAAGGAAATGGTTGCAAGGAGGAACACAGTGTTTTAGGCGTGCAAATCCACTAAAAGGATATATACCAAATTAATTCATTAATTTTTTTGGTGTGTAGTTATATAATAATAAATATTTACTCTTTTGCTTATTGAAAGCAATGACATGTGTCCTAATTTTCCAACCTTCAGGGAAGCGCTCGGAGGCTTGTAAAAACTGCTTTGCATGAAGCAGCAAAGAAGAGGGAGATGAGATATTCTGATCTGAAGAAGATTGATCGTGGTGTTAGGAGGCATTTTCACGATGATATCTCAGTCATAGTTGTGTTTCTTGATTCAAATCTTGTAAGTAGGGCGAGCTCGCTGAGGGGCCCCACTTTATCTCTCAGAGGAGGTGGTATGAACTTTGCAGCAAAAAGTTTGGCTCCCTGTGCTACTCCCATAGAACTCGGTACCACTTAAAAACTTTTACTCTGTTGTATACTCTGCTGTATCCACGAAAACTTCCTTGTGAGAGCATCTGCATCTTTGTAGTAGATAGAATTAAAGAGAAACGATAGAAGGTGCACTAATTTATTCATTTGATGTACAATGTTATGTTTAACTTGGAACACCGGTGCCTTGTTTAGTTTTCGAGCAGCAAAGAAGAATGAAAGAGAGAATTTCTATAGAGGTTCTTTCTCGAGTATCACGTTTCTGCTTAATTCATATTCCTAACGTACACCCTTTCGATTCTTTTTTAATATCTTGTAAATTGTGTAAAACTGAATGAAGTATTATTCCTCTTGTATTTTTTGTATTCTTTCCATTTCCTCATATTTTTGCTTATGCTTTTCTGAGCCGAGAGTCTATTGAAAACAACCTCTCTACTTCCACAAGGTAGGGGTTAGGTCTGCGCACACACTACCCTCCCCAGACCTCACTATGTGGAATTATACCGGTTATGTTGTTGTTCCATTTCCTCTTATTGTAGTCTTGTTGTTATCGTCATAACTCAGAATTTGAAAGGCAATAATAACAGCGGATGTGATATACTATCAAAGTATTTCGTGTTGCAGTTTTGCTTGTGTTTGGAGATTGATTGTTGAATGTTGGATTTTGGACTAGGGGTGTGCATTCGATTTATCGATTCGATTTTGACCCTTATCGATAATTACTTATCGATTATCGATTTGTACATATGCTTATCGTTATCATTTCAATAAGGTTTCGATTTTTTCGATTTCGATTACAAATAATCAATTCGATTTATTGATAAACCGATTCGAATGCACACCCCCTATTTTGGACACTTCTTTTTCTGTATGTAATGATCTATCCTTGATTTATTTTCTCTTGTATGAAAAAGTCACTGCATGGAATCGTTTTTTGTTGCTAGAAGATCAAAAATTCAAAATTTAAGTTGCTATTTCTACTAAAAACATATTTAGAAAGGCTTTTTAATAACGGTGGTAACTAGATCAGCTTGCGTGTATTTCGGCTAATCCATTAGGTATCTTTGGGGTAAAAATTATTTTTGCATATATAAAGATTGTTGAATCCCTTTAAAACAAGGTACACTCTAATTGTATTAGCGAAGATGGCTCAAAAATTACTGGAACATTTTTTATTACCTTTTCTAGAATTTTATGAACTACATCTTATTGTTAAAATATCATGGTATAGCCAGTTTTCACACTGGTCAATGAAAAATAGCCAGCGTTTAGCAAGTCAATGAAAAATAGCCACTATTTTACTGCAACAGGAACCGGTCCAGTATAATATACGGGAGTTCTGGTGCATTTGTGTACGAACTCCAGCATATTATGCTGGACCGGTATACGTTGCTAACTCCTGTAAAATTTGCGGGAGACTGGAGCACCAGTGCTCCAAACTCCAGTATATTATACTGGACAATTATACTTGCTGGAACTCCCGTAAAATTTGCGGGAGTTCCAGCATAATTATGCTTGAACTCCCGTAAAATTTGTGGGAGTTCCAGCATTGTTATCCTGGAACTCCCGTAAAATTTGCGGGAGTTCCAGCATACTTATGCTGGAACTCCCGTAAAATTTGCGGGCGTATTTTTCCAGATTTTGAACAGTGTTTTCGCTCAGATTTAAAGTGGCTAAATTTCGATGACTTTTGAAACTTGGCTATTTTTCAACGACCAGTGGTAAATCTGGCTATTTTTGAATTTCTCCGCATCTTATTTGGTCTGGTGTAGAGGCCTAATGCGAATAAAATATTTCATCCTGGACTAGATGGGTGTGCTTTAAAAAGTGATTAGCTCTGAGAACAAGAAAAGGGGTAACAAAATATTTTTCTTTAACAAAATATTTCATATAAATAGAAATGTTTTTTTAAGTTGGAATACAATAGAAAGCTTTTTTGCACATAGTTTTGTCTTTAAAGCTCAGTACTACTGGCATTCTCGAAAAACAGCAAAACAATTAAAAGTAATTCTATAATCAAATTGAAGCTGACAAAAGGCTGAATCTCAGTAGACCGTGGCAACAAGACCACTCTGCACTAAAAGGTAGAAGTTCTCTCCATTAGAAGTCTTCTAAAACAAAATGTATAAACAGCCAAATAAGGAAACAGACTAGCATTATCACTAACAGCTAAATACAACCTATCATCAGTTACTCTACCAAAGAAAGATCTGGTTGAAGCCACTCAACTAAAAGTTTAAACAAAAAAAACTTCAACTAAAGGTTAATTACATAGAAAAACTTGCAGCCTCAAATATCCAGCTATTAGGGGCTATTTCAGTAATGAAAGTTAAGCAACATAACTAACTATTGCTACTAAAAATTAAACAATATTGGCCAAGCGCAATACGTCTTGCATTTGATAATTAGGTCAGTATAAACCTATTGTTACATGAGGTGTGCACAAAACATGAGCGCACTGATACAAAATATACTACTTAGCGGAAGTAGTGAGCACTATATAAAAATGGCAGCCCAAAGGGTGCACTAAGCTCCTGCTATGCGCGGGGTCCGGGGAAGGGTCAGACCTTCAAGAGTGTATTGTACGCAACCTTACCCTGCATTTCTGCAAGAGGCTGTTTCCAGTGCTCGAACCCGTGACCTCCTGGTCACATGACAACAACTTTACCAGCTACGCTAAGGCTCCCCTTCTAGTGAGCTCTATATAACAGCTCAAAATTCTTTCTACTGATGGTAATCAACTACAATAACAGTACTTAAAAGTGCATATTTGCCACTAATTACATAGGTTTCCTCGAAATAATATATGCGATGACAAACATAGAGGGAAACCCTACCAGCAAATATGAAGAAATTAAAATAACCTTATATAATTATTTACCGAGTACAACCACCTATAGATCCCTTCTGCATAATGGACAAGAGCCGTGTCTCAGCAGCCATGTATCGATGCACGGTAAGTGAAACATGTGATGACATTGCGGCAAACATCTAACAGTTTCCCTCAGTTGGAAGTCCTGAATACATAAGAAATAACAAACATCAATCTTAATTGTTAAGTAATACAAACAGAAAGAGAAATAGCAAATAAACGTGCTACACGAAATTTACCTGTAAGCAGACTGAACATGAGACTCTCTCCCCTGTATCATCCACATTGTTGTCGTTGCTAATTACAATCTTTGGAATCTTCTCAACAAAATCTCCAGCCAAACCTTTTGACCCGCCTGTATCGAAAATGTTAGGGACCTCTTCATATGTAGTTTCAACAGCTCCCATCTGACTTTGCACTGCACTTAGCATTGCTGGACCAATCCGCTCGCGAACTAGTCTACCACTTAACAAGCTCGCTATTACATCAATCTGTACAGTTCAAACAATCCATCAATTAATCATACACCTAAGAAGTAAGAAATATAGCTCGGCATTCACGTGTAATTATTCTCATTCTCTTTTTAACTATGGAATCAGCACTTTGTTTATCAAATATACCGGTATCCCAAATATAGAAGTTACAAAAGAAGTTATGTTGCTTACCAAGTAAAGAAGACATCCGATTCCAGATTCATCGGATTGCCATAGTAACAAAGATGACTCAAAGACCTCAAGGGAGAAAACAGCACCAGAAATGGCTCCAACGGCGGCACCTCTAATAAATCCACTTTCTGTTTCTTGACCTATCAAAGCTCCTGTCATTGCTCCTAATAAGGTGCCCACTGCAAGAACCAATTCCATTCATTATTACCTTCAAAATCCATGTCTCTCCATTTAAATTCAGCCAACATTATACTAGAAATTCTCTATATTTTTCTACTGGCATAAAAATATTTAATATGGTAAACATAGAAAGCATAGGACCTAGAGTAAATGTACTAACATGACGAAAGCATATTCCCAACTAATTGGTATCGCTTATATAGATCTTCTTTTTCAATTTTGTCCTATCTTTTAGAATTAGAAAAAGTACCCCTTATAACATCATCATCAGTTAAAACACAATCACCAAAACATCGGCAAATCGCCATTTCATTCTTGTAACAGGAAATGAGATTGTTCAGGAGTATTTGAAGTCTCACTGAGTGACCAGCAATAAAATTAATGTTATTTATAGTCAACATATCGACTTATCTTTAGAGAGCGTTTAGCTTGTTTTCAAAGATGAGATCGGAAATTTTTTGATTGTTAAAGAACCAGATTTTGATAATTGCTTGTAGGCATCTACGGTTCTGTTTATGCCTGCTTGAATTTCATAGCTCTTTTGCACCCTATGAATGAGCCATGTCGATTATATAATAATAATAATAAAAAGTTAATAAAAACGACTCAACCTTTTCTTTCATTCATAACTATCAGGCTTTAGCTCATCAACTCAAAAAGATGAATAAACTAAACAAAATATACATTGAATCAAAAAAATCACCTTTATATTTACTAAATCTCTTCCGCTATATTCTTGAACTGTACAACAGCCGAATCTATCCTTATATAGAAGGACAACCCGGTGCACGAAGCATACCGCGTTCACGCAGGGTCCGGGAAAGGGCCGCACCCCAATGGGGTGTGATGTAGGCAGCCTACCCTAATGCAAGCATCAAGGGCGCACCCCAAGGGGGTCTGATGTAGGCAGCCTACCCTAATGCAAGCATCACTAGCTGATTCCAAAGCCGAATCTATCCTAAAAAACTCAAAAATACTACCTCTCAATTCTTTGCAATATATCATACCCTAAAATTCAAGTTAAAGACACAACAAGGAAGCAAAGATTGACAATTAGAGTAAAAATGTCCAAATACCCTGATTACACATGTGAAAGCCCTCATCAAAATGCATACAGAAATGAAATATCACAAGTCCTCAATTGGAAGAAAAAAAGAAAAGCACAATCTGATACACAATCAAAGAAAATTGAAAAATTACATAAGAATGGAAAGTAAATATACTCACCTAATGCAAAGAAAAAGGTGAAAATTGCAGAGAACACATTGCCAATAATTGCAGATACAGCAAATCTGAAGAAATCTTTAGCTCTATCAATCAAATCCCTCATACAAAAAGATGATACAATTGAAACAGCAGCAAAAGCACGAGTTGGGTACGCGTAAAAATCCATTCTTTTTTACTTTTTTTTCTAAATTCAAGAGTTCTTCCTTCAAAAGGGCTGTTTTTTAAATATGAAAAACAAGAAAGTTTACGCAAAGAAAAGAGGTATAGAGCTATAAATCAATGTATATATTTGTATGTGGTGCAGTTGTAAATATAAAGAGAAGAAGTTAAAGAGGGTGATATGAATGGTGAAAAGAAACCACAAAACCAACTAGCATTTATAGCTTTGTTTCTCCCTCACTCTATTTTTTTTTTTTTTTTGGTCTATAATATTTAATTTTTTCAAATATCAAATAGTAATTAACTTTTTTTTTAAAGTTGTCCTTACAGTAAAGAAGAAAGGAGCATTTGTTATATTTCTAATGAACACATTTAGGTTAAATTGGTCGATTTCATTATTAATTTAATGCTAAAAGGTGAATTTCTTAATATGTGTAACACCAGCCTAAAAATCAATTAAAGTGGACCGGACAGAGTAAGAAATAGTAGTTTAAATTGTATACTATATATTATAAGTGCAATAGGATTGTCCGAGCACAAAGCATCCAATATTCACGCAGGGTCTAAAGAAGAGTCGCACCTCAAGGGGTGTGATGTAGACAGCTATCCTAATGCATTAGTATCTGTTTTCACGGCTCGAACTCTCAACCTATAGGTCACACGTGCTCGAACTCGTGACCTATAAGTCACACGAAGACAACTGTACCATTATTCCAAGCCTTCCCTTTTATATATTACTAGTATACATACCCGCGTGGTACCCTGATCGTTCTCACTTTAAGAGATTTACTTGTAGATATTGTTTGATGATCTGATAGTGTTAAAATTTAAACGTGATAAACAATAACAACATACCCAATATTATCCTACATCATCGAGTTCGAAGAGGATAGTGTGTACGTAGATCTTAACTAACCTCGTGAGAAAAAGTTTTAAAAAAGTTTTTTTTTTTGGGGGGTTGGGGGGGGGGGGTGTGCAAAACTATTGGATTGAATGGGAATTGGCTTGTTTTGCAAAAATAGTCAAAGGGGCAGGGAGAGAGAAAGGGAAGCTTCTTTTTGACAAAAAGATTGAATTTTTGCTTGAGGGTTTAATAAATGATTCACCAAATTGAGGTCTGTTACTCACATGCAAAGTTTCTGATTGTCACTCATTTTTCTTCCTTTTTAGTTAGTGAAAGGGTCTTGGTTTGTTGATTTTTCTCCAACTCTTTCTTTAGTTTTCTTTTATTTTTATTCTCATTATATTCACATGTAGTTGATTGTCAATCCTTCTATTCTTTATCAGATGAAGTACAATTTTCAAATTCTTAATTTTGAAAAGTACTTTTTTTTTCATAAGTATTTTTTTTAAAGTGCTTTTCAAAATATAATTTTGGTGAGAAATAATTTATATTTGACTAACTAACTTGAAAAAATACTTTTGAACAGCAATTAATATTTGGTTAAACTTTTCAAAAATGCTTCTAAGTGTATTTTTTAAAAGTGCTTTTGGGAAAAAGCTACTATTTTTGCTTCTCAATAATTGAGCATTTTTTTCATTCTAAAAGCTTGACCAAATACCTTAATTTTAAAAAGAAGTATTTATAAAAGAAAAAAATATTTTTGGCCAAAAAGAACTTGGCCAAACAGACAATAATTAGACAATTAGAAGGTTGATTTTCCTTCCTTTGTTTTAAAGTTTCTGTTATTTTCTTCTCATTATATTCACATCAAGGAAGACCTGAAGGAATATATCTTAAAAGACCTATAATTTCTCATATGTCTATTTAGTTAAGAACAAAAAAACCAAAACAATAAAAGCAAGAGTTTGAAAGTTGATACAAACTAGTTAAATTAAGATTTAATTGTCACGTTAAGTATGGGAAAAAAATAAAAAATAATCAGATTTATAACTGTAATTGAAATAGCCACCGTTTAAAAAATAATCTAAATTTAGCCACTTTTTTATGTAAAAATAAAATCTGAAAAAAAATTCTCTTAAAAATTCGGAAATATTTCACTATAATATATTGGAGTTCGAATTATTTTACATATGAGCTTCCAGCATAATGTACTGGAATTTTATAATGTGTTGGAGTTCCAACATAATATGTGAGAAGTTTACATATTATGCTGGAATTTTCCGTGTGCTGGAGTTCCAACATAATATGCTAGAAGTTTATACGCAGGAGCTCTATAGTCCCGCATATTATGCTAGAACTTTTCTTGTTTCAGCAAAATAATGGTTATTTTTTAATGACTTTGCAAATGCTGGCTATTTTTCGATTACCCGTCCGAAAACTGGCTAGCTCGTGTTACTTTTCACGTTAATCTGATATCTGATTGTGCTTTCTTAACAACAACAACAACAATAACAACAACGTATCCAGTGATCGCGCTTTCTTATTCTAGCTAAATCGTGTATATTCATGTAGAAACGGAATTTAGAGATCATCTAATTTTAAAAAAAAAATCTAAATTAGTAGAAAAAGATATGTTATTAGTACTATCAAAATGGTGAACCTAAATACAATTAAATATATAAAGAAGATTCATATCATAAACTAATTTAGAGTTCAACTATAGTTGATAATTTGTTGTGTACGTGTATATTGTTTAATAGTACTACAAGTATATTTTAGTAAAGGGGAGACTTTGCAGCTGTGGTTGGGTAAAAGATGGATAGATGTCTGTGTACTTTTATGACAGAGATATTTCTTTTTTGGAAGGTGGATCCTCAGAAGAAGCATTGGGATTGGAACCTATCATTATATCAGATGAAATGTCCACTTGTGCTGACTTCTTTTTTCCGACAACAATACTGTATAGCCGCTCTCGAAATAATATTCGAAAAATAATATATGTTTTGTATAGTTTTTTGGGGTATATATATTTTTCTGTATGTTATATATAAAAAAATATATAAACTTTATACATTTTTGCAACTACCAAATATAAATAGTTTCAGTAGCAAGATTTTTCCTCTTTTTTTTTTCCTGGATTTGCTTCACGTAACGTTCATTAAAGATAAATATATACTCTATTAGAACTGTTTTATTCTTAAAATTTGAATTCGATACCGTTGATTAAGAACGAAATCGTTATATTCATTGCTCGTGATTAGTGGCGAAGCTAGAGAGCAATGTGCATGTTTGGTCGAACCTAGTAATTTTGATCTAAATTTTATATTTGTCTTAAGAAATTTATTTAATATATACTCTTTCTGTCTCAAATTATCTGTCGTGTTTCTTTTACACGCCCTTTAAGAAAAATATTAAATGTGAGAGTTTTTGACTATTTTACCCTTATTTATGTCTTAATATATAATCTCTTCAATTAATATTTACTCATAATTGAGATATTTATAGTCTTCTAGAGAAATTAATATTAAGGTAAAATAGGAAAAACATTAATTAATTTAGTCTTGAACTTCTAAAATGATAAATAATTTGAGACAATTATTTTTAGAAACCACAACAAATAAGTTAAGGCGGAGAAAGTATAAATTATTAATTAAAAACTAATAACTTAAAAAGTTTAAACTCTTAAATTTATAAACTTCAAATTCTGACTTAGTCTCGGTCGTGACGAGCTTCCTATGTTGTCATCAATGCACTTTTTGCTTTTTCTTCTTCCACCCCACATTGGACGGCTTCTTTAGTGGCCCCTAAGAAGAAGAAAAAGAGCACAGCTACCCTTCATTTTCAATGTTTCGTTGCCGAAAATTAAAAACTAGAAGAGAAATACTCAAATTTGAGTTTTTCTTTTAATTTTCTATTTAGATACTTGATCTAATGCAATAATGTGAATGTTAATAACTATATATCAAGCTTGAACTATTTCGTAGCTAAGCTTGGGAATGATAAAAAATACAAGAGTACTAATTAACATATTATATAGAGATTTAACCTAAGCTTAAGATTTTTAGGTTTTTTTAGCTGTGTAATTAAAATCGTTAGCGAAAGAATGAAACTTGAAAATAATGCATTTGAGTTTCTTTTTTCTTTTTCCTTTTTTACTTTTATTTTAATTTGTAATTTTTCATGTTAGATTACGTGGTATGGTGCAAACTTCAAATGTTGATGAATATTAACCAGTACATCAGCAATTTGTCAACCATTGGATAAGAGATGAAGAAATGGACAAGAAAATATTACTTAACAAAATCCAAAATCTTACCTGCCAATTATATGTTTTAGTTTATTAAAATAATTATTATAAGGTCAATGCATGAATCAAAATAAGGTAGGTAAAACCAGAGCAAAATTAGCTGAGGCTTTATGATTAGTATTAAGATAATAGCCGCAGAAACTTCGGTATTACAGTGGGCGAGTGGAAACTGGTTTTTGCCAACTATGGCATAGAATGGATTGGACAAAGGTAAACATTTACCCGCACTTACTGGTTTCTTTTTTACAATAAACATACACAAATTGTTTTTTTATTTAACCATCCTACTCGACGGACTAATCACCGGTTCTTAAATAAACGGACTTAGCGGTCCCGGGCTAAACGGTTTTTTTGTAGGAACCGGCCCAGACCGAGCCCACAAACTCATGGTCCCGGGCTAGACGGGCCGGGCCCGCGGGCTAAGTGGGCCCATCGGCTAAATAGTGATTTTTTTAAAAAAATTAAATAAAAATTAGAGAGAAAAAGATGTTAAAAAAATATCTAAGGCAATGCCTTGTAAATTTATTATAGAATTGTGACCTAATTTTTTAATTCAAATCTAAAGACAAAAATATTGTAAAAAGATATTCAAAGCAATGCCTTGTAATTTTATTATATTCTTAGTCTTCCTCACCCTATGAAATGAGCACAACAAGGTGCTAATACCACCATTGAGAAGAAAAAGGAACTAATCAAGATGTGCTAAAATACAAGTTACATAATACATACTAATTTTTGTTCATACAAGTTACATGCTATCTCTTAGAAACTTCATAAATCCTTCAAGGTCCGAAGGAATTTCTGTTGGCGGTGGCGGAAAAGTAGCTTGGTCATTGCCGCTTCCATTGTCGGGCGAAGCAGCATCCTCCGCAAGTTCAGCTAGCATTTCTTCGTAATCTTCGTCTTCCTCTTGTTGTGATTCAGCAAGTCTAAAATTTCTTTTTTCCGAACGAATCCAATCTCTGAAAAGTACTGATTTTTTCAAGCTCTCCCTCTTAGACGCTCTATAATCACCGATTTAAAGTCTTGCTTG